TTTTTGAGACAGAGTTTTACTATATAGTTCAGACTGCCCTGGAACTCAATATGTCACCCAGGCTGGTCTCGAACTCACAGTGACCCTTCTGCCTCAGCCTCCCGCCACCACGCCTGGTTCCCACTGGACTCTCTTGAAGCAGATCCCAGTTGTTACAGGAGCTCATTTTAAGCTTTTTGGTGTGTGTCTCTAAAGAGGTTCTTCTCAAATAAACCCTTTAATAATTATTACTCACTAATAAAATGTTTAAATTTTTTGTTTTTGGAGACAGAGTCTTACTATGTAGTTCAGGCTGGCCTTGAACTCAATGTATAGACCAAGCTGTTCTCAAACTCATGGCAGTCCTCCTACTCCAAGTATAGTGACTTTCCTGCTGTTGCTCACACAAATCACTCATGTTTGTGCAAGAAACAGAACAAACTTCCACCTCAGGGCCTTTGCACTTGCTGTTCACTCAGTTAAGAATATATTTTCCTGGGGTGTCTCCATGGCTTACTCTTCATTCAGGTCTCTGCTGATACTGCCATATTACAGAGGGCTTCCTTGAGCACAGAAATCACAGCCTCCTCCCTTACTCTGGAATATCCTATCTTTCATAACAGTCATCGCCATATGATACATTGTTTATTCTCTTGCCTGCTGTTTTCTGCATCAGAATGACTCCAGTATGCTCTGGACTTTGCTTACCCATGGGTCTTCAGGACCCTATGAGGTCCATACTATTATTTCCATTATCGACAGCGGAGGAACTGAGACCCACAGTGATGAAACGATTTTCCCAGTTTTCATCATGTATCTAGTGGGTTTGAGGACCAAGACTTGAACTAAGTGGTCTGTATTAAGCAACTGTTTCTTTGAGATGCCCAGGCTGGCCTTGAACTTGCTGTCCTCCCATATCAGTATGGACCATAACTAAGCAACGTGCATAATGAGGTGACCCTTGTTGGCTGTGTACCCCACCCCCAGCCTTCCAGAAGTGGGGCTACTAAAAGTCCAAGCCCCAAGCCCTCGGATAATGGCCAGTGGCTCAGCTGACCCCTCCTCAAGGCTCACACTCCTGTGTTTTACTAGGCTTCTAATACAATGTTTGTTTTGTTCTCATCATCTACACATATCTATTGTTAGTTCATTTCATAGCCTAAAATGATTGAAACTTGGGAGGGGAAAAAAATTTAAAAAAATTAACACGTTCCTTAATACTTTGTACTTTCTGAAATACACCTGAATAGGCTTTGAGCATGTCTGCTTGGCATTTTAAAGTCTTCAAAATATGTATCACCTTCCACTCCCCCTGGTTTCCAAACAAGGCAGCCTGCCAGAATTGTTAAAAAAGCACACTGCAGCCAGGCGTGGTGGCACACGCTTGTAATCCCAGCACTCGTGAGGTTAAGACAGGAGGATCACTGCAAGTTCGAGACCAGCCTGGGCTACACAGTGAGATCCAGGTCAGTCTCAACTACACAGTGAGACCCTGTCTCAAACAAACAAACAAACAAACAAAAACCACTGTAATACTGGTTTAATGGAAAGATAAAAAAGGAAAGAAAACAAAAGTCACTGTTAGGAGAAAAAGGAAGAACAGAGGTACGAACTCAACAGTCAGGACAGGTTTACCCAGAACAAATCTGAGAGGCACTGCTATATGAAGGGCTCGGTCACAGGCTGTGAGGTCTTTTCTAGGGTTCTAAGCATAGAGGGGAGGCTGTGAGGTGCAAAGTCCAGAGAAAAGGAGTCGCGGCTGCCTGCTCTAAATGCCTGGAGAGTTGTAGGCTGTGTGGTTGTCTGCCAGGAGCAGGCCTGAAGAATTTGATGGAAATTATGGGGTGAAGCTTTGGTTATTGGGCGTTAATAAGCCATAGCGAGACATCTTTAGCAGGTGTAAATGTGGAAGGTGATGGAAGAGGCCTAAAGTAAGTCTCTGGTCAGCCTAGGACTGAGGCAGTTGGATTTCTTCAGCCACCACTCACATCGATTGATTGATATTTTTTGAGACAGGGTCTCTCCCTATGTAGTTCAGGCTAGCTTTGAACTCAACTATTTAGCCTTGAACTCACAGCTATCCTCCTCCTTCAGCCTCCCAAGTGCTAGAATTACAGCGGCCCATTCAGATTTAATCACTGTTTCAGTGTGAACATCTGTCTTCCAAAACTGTTTCCACTCCTTGATTATTCAGGGAGCTGGCCTGTGGGGGGGTGTGTGTGGTGGTGGTGGTGGTGGTGGTGGTGGTGGTGTGTGTGTGTGTGTTCCTGTTTGTTTTCACCATCAAATCTTCTCAAGGTACACGGTTATATTAGTTGACTGTGAACTCTCTCTCTCTCTCTCTCTCTCTCTCTCTCTCTCTGTGGTACTGGGGAATCAAACTCAGGATCTTGCACTTTCGAGGCAGGCAGTGGCACCAGAGCTAAATCCTTGGCCTGACTATGAACTCTTATTTCCAAAAAAACCGCCTAAACATATTAGGGAAAAGTTATAATCATTTTTATGAAGTACTCACCTATTTTGCTTTTTGCCTCTTTCAATTTACCCAGCTGTATAAAGGTAGGAACGAAAGAAGGGAGAGGAACTGTAATGGGGAAAACGTGTAAAAAATAAAACAGCAAAAGTCAATTAAATTAGAAAACATGAACGTGTTTCAAACCAACTCGGGGACTGGCATAGGTGGCAGAAAAACCACGCGGATCAGCAGTTTTTGTCCGAGTGGCCGCCGGGTCCTGGAGAAGAGGCCGCGTTGCTCTCTGTCTAGACCGCAGTCGGGTGCTGACCATATCCAGGGGACGCAGAAATCACTGTTAAATTAGTGTCCCTAAATCTAATCTCAAATCTGGGGCAGGAATTGTGTAACAAGGAAAAAAAATTGTCAAATTCCACCTACTTGTGCTTTGACGTTCCTTTCCACTGGCACCAGGTTACAACTCAGAGCTCGCCTTGGTAGTTGGACAAGCGATTGTTAACTCCCAGCTTGCTTTGGTAGCGTTACATCTGGCTTCACACTTGCTCGCTCATCAGTTACCCACGTGCACCTATCAAGTAGGAGATTACAACGGAAGCTGATCCTTGTGGTTTAAAATGATAGAAGTCCAAGAATCAGCCAGCCGAGCCAGCGCACCCACCTGCTCTCACCTTTGCATGTTTGGATGCTAAACGCATCTCGGCTCACTAAGCGTGCGTCGTGCGTCGTGTGTGGCGGCGCGTGCGTCGTGCGTGGCGCCATGAGCACGGACTGCGCCTGCGCAGGGGCTGGCTCCAGAGGGGCAGAGCTGCTCTGTTAGTGCAACGAGAGGGAGCTTGAAAGCACTTAAACGGGAAGGATGGTTTGGGGTTGGCTGTCTGAGTCCATGTTCTCTGATCCGTCTCATGCTTGCGCAAGGTTCGTAATCAATAGACTGAAGGTCTGGATAGTTTTGTATATATTTAATGTGCTTCATAATTATGGGGCACAGGCACTGTTACAGGGTCCTGGGGCTGTGGGCAAGTGTTGAAACCCATGTAAAACTGTCCACCCTGTGCTTTTCCGCCTTTTGAATCTTATACCCCTGGCTGTTGAAACCCTGCCGTTTTTTTTTTGTTGTTGTGTTTGTTTTCCTTTCAGATGGAGGTCTCGAATCCCTGAAATCCTCCTGCCTCAGCCCCTTGAGTAGCTGGGACTACAGGGGCAGGCACTCCATCTGCCGACTGCGTGTGGGATTTTCTGCCCTTTGAATCTGGTTGCGTTGGATGGGTGCATACCCAAGATTGTTTGGTCCGAAAGTGGGCCTTTTGTTGCTAATGAATTAATGCTATTTTTCCTGCCTGGGATCTTTTCGTTCTCATTTCTCTCTCGGTCTCCTGAAGAAAATACGGGTAACACCAGTACAGTTTGTGACAATAGCCCCTTGGGAAGGATTTTAGGAAAATGTACTGTTTACTTCATCCATGACCAAAATAACAACAACAACGGTAGATCACTACAATACTGGTTGGCCATTGTACGTATTGGAGTTCGAGGAGAGAGGGCCAATGAATGGGTCTTTAAATTATTACACTGACTCCTACTTGGAACATTTTTTTTACAGTTGAAAAAATTTTTTTAAAAATCTTTAATATCTGACATAAAATATAATTTATCTCATATAAGAAGACCTAATTACAAAACAAAGGAATAAAAGGTATATTCAAGTGATTTTACTGAAAAACAAAAAGGCAGCATGCATGTAAGATTCTCTAAGTGATCGTTGATCAGGGTAATATAAATTTTTTCCCTTAAATTCTTTTATTGGTACATTTTAGGTATATGATTCATTTACTTTTATCATTGGGATCTTGTACCTTTACATGATGTGTCTTGGTTCTTATTTTTTCCACATTTCCCTGGTCTCCCTTCATCCCCTTCACCCCTCCCTATTTACAAAGACTTTGTTTGCATTTTTTCCTTTCCCTTCTTTCCTTTCCCCTACCCCTTTGGACCTTTTCTTCCTATTTCACATTATCAATTATTAATTTCAATTCTTGTTTACTATTTGGTATTTACACGTGTCCTATTTATTTCACTTAAGCATATGGCCTCAACCCTTTAACTATAAATGTCTCTAGTTTCTCATTCTTTTTTTTTTTTTTTTAGTTTCTCATTCTTTATGGCCTAGTAGTACTCCATTTTATTTTAAAAAACCACATCTTCTTTATCCAGTCTCCAGTTGATGGGCACTTGTGCTGTTTCCCCTTGGAACATGTTTGTCAAAGGCTGAGAAGGTAGATGAGATTGAGATTCCTTATGTAAGAGCGTTTATGTACCTTCATAAGGAAGTAGAAAGGGAAGTTTTATGCTCATGACATCAAGGAAGGAAGAAGCAAATGGGTCTCCTATTTGGCATTTTGAACATAGCAAGGGAAGGCTGTCCTTGCCTCAGTTGGCAACGCCAGTCACCAGAACAAAACCTAGGCCCATCTCTGTGAGCCTGGGCTGCAAGATGGGTCTCCCCTTACAGACCCAACAGGACACCTTCCCTCTGGTTCAGTTCCCAGCATGCATTGCTTTCTTCTGAGGTGGAGGGTAAAGGATGCTTCTGGGGGACTCTTTGATGGTCAGAACCAAGACTGTGCAGACCTGCAGCTGTGCTGGGACCCTCTCCTCACTGTTTGAAAGGATCCCAGTGATGCGAGAGGTCACCTCCACCAGGAAAATCCAGAGGAAAACCCAGAACCAATGTCACCATCCCTCGAGACATCTTGTTGGTTGCATGAGTTACTGCTATTGGCCCAGCACCTCAGGGCTGCCTGGACTGGGTGTCCTGCTACCGACCGTAGGGCAGCATACACGGGATTTCACGAGGAGATACAGGTTCTCTGAAAGGTGGGAGCAGGTTCGGCGATGACAGTCAGACAAAAGCACTCAACACCGAGGTGAAGTTTGCCAATGCTGCTGCAATTTTATTTCTAACTCCAGGTGTTTATATACTAGTTTCAAGGGCACATCACAAGAGTGATTCCAGTCACAGGCAGGCATAAGATAGACAATAGTACTGTAAAAATTAAGACCACAAGGTCAAGGTAAGACCACACCTATATACCATCACAAAAGCTAAGACCATTGAGTCAAGGTAAGACCACACCTATACGCAGTCAGAAGGGGGGAAGTTTGTAAGACAAAGGACTGGCTTTAGCATGTCACCTTCAGGTTCACCTTCAGGACTTCACAGTCCGGGGCTCAGGGTCAGCACTTTGGCCGCCCATCCTCTTGTGCCTCAATATCTCCACATCTCTAGGAACATCTAATTGTTCCTAACCTTTCTTGGGCCCAGAATACAATTCTACAGATAATGAACAAATAGTAATAAAGACAAAATAGAACAGAATTATAGATGAACCCAATGTTCCCAAACTGCAGGCAGAGAGGCCAGCTATTCTCTTCACGGCTGACTTTGCATGCGGTGTGTGCTAAGGACCTCCAGGAGGCTTAACCCCGTGGGGACGATACCTCTGGTCTGGTTTCTGCCAGGTGACCGGCATTGTCACGCAGACTCTACTGGCGTGGTCGTGGCAGTGTCCCCTTACAGGAAGGTGACTGAATTGAAGGTATTGCTGCCAAAACAAGACATGCACAATGATACATGCTACAGATTGAACCCAGGGCACTGGATTAAATACCTGGCCTTGTATTTTTTATTTTTGAGACAGAGTTTTGATAATTCAGTAAGTTGCAAAGGCTAGGCTGAAACTTGAGATCCTCCTGCCCCAGCCTCCCAGAATGCCGGGATTACAGCCCTGTACTACCACACCTGGTTAAGAGAAGCCTTTTTACAAAAACACCTCTCGTGGTGAAGAGACTCAGTGGCCCATACACGGGACTCTAGATCAGCTTGGACGTGGGAATATTTTACCCTTCGGCCGGCCACCCTCAATCATGGTCCATCACTGAACCCCGTTTGAATGGATCAGGGGAAGCCCTTGGTGGCTGAAGCCCCTCACATAAAGCTGGCATATTAGGTAATGGGAGAAGGAATCCGGAACAAGAAAGGAAAACCACTTCCTAATCAGAGAACAGAGGAGAGCTAGAGTATTTTTTATTCATCAAGTTCATCTGTTCCACACGTCGTCCCTTCACCCTCTGCCCTCCCGCATCCAGCCAGAAGTAGCCAGGTGGAGTTGATGCGTCTGTTCTAGGAATACGCGGTGGGACAGATTAGCAGGTGTGCGACAGAGGGGAAATACTTCTAACCCCTTGCAGTTGTGCTTCGCTCTGCTATCAGCATTAGGCAAGGACTCGCAGCTGGCTTTTGCTATGTAGACAGAAGACTATAACTACCCTTGCTTTTGTAGGTAGGGTCACATCTTGCCTTCACACTTGGCGCACGTAAGTAAGGCACCTATTGAAGTAAGGCCACCTATTGACAGGACCTACACTGACCCTTGTTTTAGTTTCTATCCTCCATTGCTGCTGCTGCTGTGACCAGTGGTAACCCTGGTTACCCCTCTTTTCAATGCCAAAATCTCTGCCTTCTCAACCTGCATGTGTAGACACGCGAGGGTGGTGAGGCTGAGCCACCTCTACACGTGAGGATGGCCTCGACCCTGGAAAAGGAGGTTTTTAAAAATCTGTAGTGGCTGGCCGTGGTGGTGCAGGCCTGTAATCCCAGAACTCGGGAGGCTGAGGCAGGAGGATCAGCATAGTGAGATCCTGTTTCAGCAAACATGGCTTTTTTTTTTTTTTTAATTTCAAAAGTAATCCATACCGGGCATGGTAGCACACACCTGTAATCCCAGCACTCAGGAGGCTGAGGCAGGAGGATCACTGTGAGTTTCAGACCAGCCTGGGTTACACAGTGAGTTCCAGCTCAGTCTCAACTACATAGTGAGACCCTGTCTCAAAAAACCAAAAACCAAAAACAAACAAATAAAAATCTGTAGTGGGCCCTGGGAGGGGGGTGGGCTTTGTGACGTGAGTCCTCATCACATGATTGACCAGCTTGCCAACAAAGCCATCTCCTTGCCTCACACGTTGTCTCGTGAGTCACTGGTGATTGGGTGAAAAGTGGCAGCACTTGCCTCAAGATTCAGGCCATGAGCCTGCCATCCCAGCACTCGGGAGGCTGAGGCAGGAGGATCGTCATGAGTTTGAGGCCAGCCTGGATTACATAGTGAGACCCTGTATATATAATATAAAATACATATTTGTCATGTCCTTGGTCTCATAGGCAGCTCAGTGGAGTAGAACTCACTGACCATAACCTACCACTATGCTGGGACAAATGCCCTAAATTTTCTATCTGTTACTTTTTACTTGACAGTTTTTAGAGGACCGCATATGATAACTGTGTTGGTTTTTTTGACTTACAGTTCAGGTTGCCTTAATATTTGGTAAAAGAACACTAGACTACGTCTTCAATTTGTGCAAAGGCGAATTTGACTTCCTGGAGCGGCTCTTGGACAGTCTGCTCCTGAGTATCATTTCTTACCTGGATCTTGAAGATGTCACCAGGCTTTCTCAAACTTCAAGCAGATTTGCAAAGGTAACAGCCATTTTGTGTTGATAATAAAATTTTCCATAGATGTTCTTTAAAACAAAATTTGCTTTTCTTTCCTTCTTGCAGAGCTGGGGATCAAACCAGGGCCTCACACATGCTAGACAAGTGCTCTGCCCCTGAACTGGACTCCCCGCCTGTTTTTTGCATTTGTTTCAAGGGTCATTGGTTGAATGCTGACTTTCTGTAGGCACCGTCCTTGGTGCAGGAGTGACAGAGTGAGACATCCCATTATTTTAGTGCAGTCTTGGATAATCCTCCGTAATTTACCCTCCTGTGCTGGAAGCTTCTCTAGGTTGCTGGTTTTAGCCCTCAACGTCCTCACAGAATAGAAATTATTAGAATGGGGGGGGGTCCTGGCTCAGGTGAAGTTAGTCATTTATTTTTGTTGTCAAGCTAAAGTTTTATCTGAGCTCCATTTACCTGCTGTGCCCCTTCATTTATAAATTACTCTGGACCTTGTACTTACACGGCAGGTGGTGGCACCACTGAGCTAAATCCCCAGCCCTTTATCTTAATTTTTTTAAATGGTTCATTTTTTATACTACAGATTTTTTGTTTGTTTTTGTTTTGTTGTATTTTGGGGTCTTTAGAGACAGGATCTTGCTATGTTATTCAGACTCCCCTTGAACTCACTACATAGCCCAGGCTGGCCTTGAACTCACCACAGTCCCGCCTCAGCCTCCTGAGTGCTGGGGTTACACGGTACTGCCCACTATGCCTGGCTTTTTATCAAATCGTTGTGTCTGTGGGTTACTCTTTCCTCTGATCTCAGGAAGGGAGAGCCAGACTCCTACTTGGGGTCAGCACTAGGCTTTCCCTCCTTTCCCTCCCATATATGCTGAGCTTATTTTAAACCTTCTATTTATAGCTTAAGACTTATGAGAGTTTTACAAAGGGAGAATGGAGTTTGCCTACCCTTCACCTGAATCCCCCAAAGTTAGCATCTCATAATAGCACGGTACGTGGATCATAGCTGAACAGTTAATATTGGTACAACACTACTAAGTAAAGTACAGGTATTACATGGATTCTATCAGTTTTTCTATGGTATCTTTTTGTTTGCTGCTTCAGGATCCAATCTAGGTTACTACATTGCATTTAGTTCAGATTTTTCTTTTTTCTATTTTTTTTTTTTCTTTTGAGACAAGTTCTCACTATGTAGCCCAGGCTGGCCTTGAACTCACAGCAATCCTCCTGCCTCAGCCTCCCAAGTGCTGAGATTAGAGGTGTGCGCTACGACACCGGGAAGCCAACATTTTAACTCTCTTTCTCTCTGTACATTAATTTTTCTCCAATCAGACTCAAATGTCAGAAGACTTTTTGTTGTTGTTGTCAGTGCTGAACTGGAACCCAGGACCCACCCGTGCCAAACACACCTACCACTGACCCACACCTCCAGCCTTGGCAAAAACCCCTCAACTCTGTTCTTACCCAGTCTCTCCTCTAAACTTGGTTTACACAGCATTTCGCACTCAGCCAAGCAGCATCATCGGTCTGTGACTTCATAATCCATGGCGAGTTGAGAGCAGTAAGGACAGTGTGAAGAGCTTCCTCACAGCTACTTCACGGAAGTGACTGTCTCTGCAGGACGTGGGCTGCTTCTGCTCGTGGGGGGGTGAAGGTGTCCCTTCTTTTATTAAGTGGTGGGAACCATACGTGACCATTTCTAAAAGCTGCCCTTACTCGGCGAAACTAAAAAGTCAGCAGCCTTATTCTGGTTTGTAGTTTTTGTTGTGCTTTGATTTTTAAAACATTCAGTGGTCCTGTGACATCTGAAATCCTGAGAGCTGTCGGTCTGTTGTCAGCTTACACCTGCTCTGTCTCCCCACCATCCCCGGCCGGACCCACAGTGACCTCACACTGTCACACCTAATAGATTTCTCCGGGCCTTCCACTTCCTGACCCGTCTCTGCCTCGGAGACTCTGGGTGACTTTTCTCCTCCTGGCTGGCCCTTCACTGTTTCAATGGCCGCTCATCCATGCAAGGTCAGAGTGGCCTTTCTACAGTGGACACTGATCGTGCCCCTCAGTGGCCTTTTTTTGAGAGAGTCTCACCATGTAGTTCATGCTGGCCTTGAACTCACTACATAGCTCAGGCTGAGCTCAAATTTGCAGTGATCCTTCTGCCTCATCCTCCAGGATGCTGGGATTATAGGCATGCGTCACCACACCTGGCCCAGTGGCCATTTTAAAGATGAGATTCAGCCCTTTTAACCACATCTGCAAGCCCAGGGCCCAGGCCTTGCCTCCTGGAAATTCCTTGTCATTCTTTATGTCCTGATTCTTTTGGGCCTCTTTGCCTTTGCTAAGGAAAAAAGGAGGAAAACAACAACAACAACAAAGGTATAAGCTCAACAGGCCAGGTTTATTTCAGCATGAACCTGAGAAGGACCGGCCTGGTTTAGACCAGACCGGCAACTCGCATACAGGGCATAAGAATGCACAGCACAGGGAGTGGTGGCTGCCTGTCAGGGGCAGGGCTGAATGATGGTTGTTACGGGTAGGTGTGGTTCCTGGGCCTCATGAACCTGTGATTGTACATCGTTAGCAGGGGTAAAAACAGCGGGTGGAAGAGGCTTTGAGTCTGGTCAGCCTAGCGTGGTGGCAGTCCGAGTCCTTCACTTAGTGCATCAGCCTGTGTTTCATTGCTGTAATTAGACCTGAGGCTGGGTAAAGAAAAAACGGGTGTGCCCTATGCAGGGGTGCACAGCTGCAATCCCAGCTACTCGGGAGGCTGAGGTGAGAGAGAGAGGGAGAGAGAGGGAGGGTGGGAGAGGCAGAAGCAGGTGGATCACAAGTTTGAGGCCGGCCTGTGTAACATAGATGGTCCCAAAGCAAAAACGAACGGGTTTATTAAGCTCGTAATGCTGGAGATTGAAGGGCCTGCACCTGTGGACGACTTCTAAGGCTGTCCCATGATAAGGGACAAGGAGCACGTGTGCCTGTGTCCTCTGCTTTCTCTTCCCTTATCAGCCACACCGGTATTCACTCCTGGGGGTTCCACCCTGATGGCCTTCTCCACTGCTAACTGCATCCCAAAGGCCCTACCTGGAGACACTGCAGTAGGATTAAGTTTCCACCTTTTTTAATACCTTGCAGTGGGGATTAAACTCCCACACATGAATCTCGGGGGGTATTCAACCACTTCCCTGGCACTTACATTGTTCCTTTTCTTTCTTTCTTTCTTTTTTTTTTTCTTTTTTGATCCTGGGGATTGAACTTGGGACCTTACATTTGTGAGGCAGGCAGCAGAACCACTGAGCTAAACCACGGGCCACATTGTTCCTTTTCTAGTAGTATCCTGTCCTTCCACCCCAACCTCCAAAATGCCTCTCAGTGGCATTTGCATGAGTATGTCATGCCTTTTCTTAACTTTTACCCCCACCAAGCTCAATGGCAAGGATCACGTCCCTTACCCTTGTGTGCCCAACTTATCCGGTGCCTAACCTGGTGAAGGAGGGGCTACTTCAGCTTTGTTTATATTTTCTAAAAGAATGGTTTGTGTTACAGTGGTTAGGTTGGAAGAAGCCACTGCTTCCATTCCTTGTTCTGTAGTGGGGACCATATGACAAGTGCTATGTGTTCCTTCCAGCGATGTCCTGTCCACAGGTACGTGAGATAACGTGAGCCCAGAAAGGTACCCAAGGCCACACCTGACTCTGTGGTAGAGTCTGGGTCTCTGGAGAGGGCGGGGCCTCAGCCCTGTCCACAGCAGGGGTGGAAATGTCTGCTTGTCCCCCTCAATGCTAGGAGCCAGCATCACCCAGCAGCCTGCCCTGGCACCGAGTCTGTGTGGACCAAGCCCCATGATGGTTCCAGTGGACTATCTGGCTGGGTCTGTGGCTGTATTTTTCAATGGAAACAAAGAGGCATTGCCCGAGAGTGCAATCTAAAAGGCCAGCCCCGTGCCTTGCTACAAGTGTGCCTGCCCGGAAGACTCAGTTCTCCACCTCTGGGACTGAGGCTCCGCTATGGCCTGAGGCAGGTTCGGTTCAGCAAGGTGTGCAGCCACGTGGGCACCTGCTTGAGGGGCCTGCCGGCTGCCCTCAGATGACAGCAGAACCCTCCAGAGCGGCCAGGTGAGAAGACTGAGTCCCAGGCAGGAAGAGGTCGGTCGTGGCTGGGATATAATAGTGGTCGTCCTGCTGGGGCTGCTGAAGAAGGAGTTCTCCCCTGTCACTGTTTGGCTGTGGAGAGGCAGGTGTTCCCTGTGTCTACAAACTCCATTCAACTGTGACCCCCCAAGTCTGACCAGGCAGGCGAGGCGCACAGCCGCCACCCCACAGCACTGGGCTTGGGAGGGCTGCTGTGGACCTACACGTGTGCTTGTAGGGTTGTGTTTGACAGCCCAGTTCAGCAGCTTTGGCCCAGGAATCTGACCTGTTGGTATCGAAATGACACACATAAACGTCTCAGGAAATGCAGTTAGTGGTAGACCTCATGCGAGCACGTGGGAGGCCCTGGCTTCATGCCCTGGACATCCTCTCCTTCCGCCAAGGAAGAAAGGCCCAATAGACGCTAAAAAGCTGGGACTCGCTGGTTAGGATTTTCCTGTCTCCACTGCAGAAGAGTGTGGTGCAGTTACGTCGTCTGGAACCTAGAGTGAGGTTTTTAGCTCCTCCCCGCCACAGGCCTGGTGAGCACCTGTGTCCTCTTTGAGCTTTGACTTCCCCATTTGTGGAAAGGAGTGGTTTTATTTAGAAGACCTAGCGTTCCTTTCAATCCGTTAGTTAATTTCATGCACCACCACCAGGGGGAGCTAAGCACACAGTTCCTGTGCTGTGTCTTGAAGCAGCTGCCGGCACAGGATGGGTACTCCGCCTTGTGCAGCCTGGCCAAGTGCCAAGCAAAAGAACCCCAGGAATTGGGAGTCTTAAATTGGGGTACATTTCCTAAGAGTTTCCTTTGTTATACAGAAAGTAAACTTGGAAGGACTTGAAGGCACAGGAACTTAAGTTTTAGGGAGTAAATATTAGTGTCACTCTTTATCCGTAACCTTCCTTATGCAAAAGTAATGACGGTAGCACTGATGTTTATGCAGACAGGCTCTTAAGTGATGATGCTTTATTACACTATTGATTTCTGTTTTTATTAGAGCATTTCTAGGCTCGATGAAGTATAAAGTAAAAAATGCTGGCTACTTTCCATTGAAAAGAGCGTAGCAGTGTAAGGAAATCAAAACAACAGGAAGAAGTCAGTATACATGGGAACAGCAGGACAGCCAGCCAGGCGAGGGCTGGCATCAGTGGAATGCATGGCTGTTGGGGTTGGGGGTGCATAGGTTGTGAGGGGCCGGGTGTGGGCCAGGCAGGCTGATGCGATGGCCCATGGCATGGGGTGGTGGTGTAGCCATCAGCATAGGCAGCTGTGCCTCGGTGGCTGAAGCGGGGGTTGAATCCCCAGCACTCAGGAGCAGTTGCAGCTTGGAAGGAGGGGCAGAGATGGCAACTGGGAAAGACAGCAGGACCGTCCGGGGCAGCAGCAGGCAGAGCTCAGCCTCGGTGAGGGTAGGTGTGGGGTCAGCAAAGGCTCAGGCTTCCATCCCAGAGCCTAGGCCAATGAAGCTTCCTGTAGGGGCTCCCATCAAGGGCTCTGACTCGGTTCCCACACTGGGGCTCTGCTACCGGAGGTCATGCTCTCTTTCCCCTCAGAGGAACGTCTGGGATAGGCCCTCGAGGCCGTCCTGTGCCCCATGACAGCATGGGCTGGTCCGGTTCTCTTCAGTCTGCTCTGATCTCTGATTTGTAGGGGTGGGACATTCTAGAACTCTCTGAAAGGAGGGTTAGAATTGTAATTGAAACAAGGCCCACTCAGGGACTTTGCAGTCAGCCATGTCTATACTCAGCCCTTTCATTTT